AAATGAAGCAGTTGCTTTCTCCTGCAAGCATTACCTCAGCCTCTTCTGGACAGATAGGTTTTTATCCATATCTTCATCTTCATGAGTCACTGTATAAACTGTTTGGCTGCCCTAAGCTGGACTAAAGAGCAAGAAATACAAAGAGCAGGTGTCAGCACACAGTGGAAACCACAGTTCTTAGCTCCAGTCACTTTCTAGAGGCACTGCCCTGTACAGGAGCAGGAGGGTGACCAGCAGGGCCCCATGGGATGTGTTCTCACCAGAGACTCTCCAGACAGGAGGGACAGAGCTGCTCAGACAGTCCCCGCTCCCAGCTGTGGCTGGACCAAAAGCAGTCAAAGAAGACATTGTTAATCTTAGTCAAAAGATCAGTAGATGACACTGCCCTGGGCAGCATCTGGAATTAACGATGTGGCAACAATCAGTTAAGTGTTTTGGTTACCGTGTTGAAGAGATTTTCACCCAGCCTCGCCACCAGACACTCCAAAACCAGGTGATCTGAGATGAGTGAAGGCCTGAGTGATTGTCAGTGATTGTGTCCCATCTGAAGTCACCAGGTCTTAAGTATTTCTAATGGTTTCACATCTTTCAAGAGATCTTAGTCATGCAATGATTGCATTGTTTGAATCAGTTTATTCTAGTCCTGACAGGACACATCCCAATTTACATATTATTTTGTACTCCCAGCTCCCTCATTAATGTTTAATGCCTCAATTCAGCCATCAATCCCCACTCAGCGGAACGATTCAGCTAAGTAGGTATTTAAATTTAAGCACATTCTTAAATGCTTTGCTGAAATGAAGCAGTCTTACAAACATGCTGACATGCTTTGCTGAATTGGATTTTCATACATACAAGAATTCACATGCTATAGGCACTTGGGAGAGGAGCCTTCCTCTTCCTCATGTGCATTCATGTCCAAGTGCATGGCTTGTGAAGGACATAGCATTCTATAATGTTAAAGCATTGTGTTTGTTTGATTCTTTCAAGTGATCTGTTTCAAACTGAAGTTTGAAAGGTAACTATGACTGATGATCTCTGCTCATAGTAAACTGATCAGATTTAGGTAATGCCTGATCATTGGCATTATTCAGATCTCAAAGGAAGGGAAAATGAGTAAACATTAGCACAGATGTAATTTTGTCCCTAGTAGGCTGTGGCAGGCACATTTCTCTCACTCTCAGGATTTTTCATAGAGGTGCACAGAGAGAAATGAAAGAGAAAACAATTTCTATTTCTGCTCCTTGTTTTTCCTATGTGGAATGTGTTTGGAGAATTGTTTACCTGGAGCGAGTCCTTGATTGGATTCTAGTGAGGATTGTTTGAGCCTGATGGCCAGTCCAATCCACCTGTGTCTGGACTCGAGTCACGAGTTGTGTTAGAGCCAGAGAAAGTGGTATGTAGTTTTAGTATCCTCCTTTTATATAGTATATTAATGTATTTTAGCATAGTTTTAATAAAGAAATAATTCATCCATCTGAATTGAGTCAGACATCATCATTTCTTCCCATTGGGTTCGCCTCTATTTACAATAGTAGACCAACTAGTAAAGATAGAAAAACCACAAACAAACAAATAAACAAACAAATGCCAAACTAATAAAATGTACTGACACATTTCTCAAACTGGGATATTTGCCTTTGCCCAACGGGACTCTTACACCATGACCCAATTCTTTTAACTTTTCATATGGAAAAGGTAATGATACGTTGCTCCAGGACTTTGATTTGGTGGGTGTGAGGGAAAGATTCATATTTTCGATTTTCCTTTTCAAGCTATTTTACCCATTCCTTCCTACATGAGAAAGAATGCAATAAATACCCTTCAGGCCTCTGCAGCTCTAGGGGAAACACACAATTTCCTATAGTCACATATGTTCATTGCTGCTGGTAATGGTGGAAGCAGTCATAGATTCATTTGCTTTAATGATTGTTTCATACATACTTTTGCTTAAGTATTAAAAAATCTTATAAAGCACTTATTTTTAAAACTGTAAATATCTGAGAGATGTTAGCACTTGCCTTTACAAGACAGCTGTCACCAGCAAGAGCTCTTACATAATCTGTTTACCTTACAAATCTCCCAAGGTATCCAAATCTTCTCTTGAATATGGGATGGGGCAGCTGAGGGCAGACAGTAATCTGAACAGACAATTTTGTGCTAAAGACACTCCTTACAACGTTTTGGAGATTACCTCAAAGTTTGTTTTAAATTTGTCCTAGTTATGGGTGAAAGTCAGAGGAAGGAAGCTTTTTTTTGTACACCTTTTAATCTGTTCAACCATATTCCTAATTTTATACCAAATCTTTTTTCAGTCAATGTACATGTTCATTATATACTCTGTAATTTTATGCAAGGAGTATGTCCATGACAGCAATAAAGAGCTTTGCAGCTTTCAGCTTATGCAAGAATAAAGACTTATTACAGCTTGACCTAATCTATATCCACCAGTCCTATTTGACTGGTTTAAACTGTAGAAACTGATTTCAGGTTTTCAACCAAATTCTATTAAAAGCCTGACATTTAAAGTCAGAATCTTCCTTCTCTCCCACTCCTCCTCTTGCCAAAAAAAACCCAAACAAACAAACAAACAGCACATGTTAGAATTGTCTGAGAGGTAAAGAGTCATTTTTGAAAAAAAATGGGAAAGCCCTAATCAAATAAAAGTATGTCAAGACCTGAACAACACACAGATCTGTCTATCTCATTATCTGCAAACTAGGCAGGAAAAATGCTGTGACCTAATTGGTATCTCTCAAGCTATGGACAGTAACTGGACAGGGTTTTTTTGTGCAGCATTTGCTTCTTTTCACCAAAACCTTTCTGAGTATGAGGTATTAGCCAGGGACTTTCTGATCTGTGTCATTTCCCTTACTTCCATCTGTTACCACAGTAATATTCTATTTATCATTCTTCAGTTTTAGCTAAATTGTAAATGTTTTTTGGGATTTTTCCTGCTAAGGTGTTTTTGGGCATAGGGAACTTCCCTGTGTAGAGTTTCAGACAGCCCCAAAAAGTCAGTTGTTGATCACGAACCTTGAGAACTAAGACCAGGGCTCAGAAGCACATGCAAACACATAAGCAAGCCAGTTGTTGGAAACTGGAGATGAGGTTTCCTCATCCTTAAGTGCATGGAGTGGAGGGCACTGCTCTGAGTGCAGAATGGACAGGCACACCTCAACTGGCAGTGAGTGTCCCAGGCAGCATCTACTGCTAGACCTGCTGCAGAAGCTCTGGGAGTACTTATATGGCAACACCACACAAGCCTTACAGCTGCTGCAGTCTCACTGTTGTTAGTTCTTACAACAGCTACTTCAACCTGAGAAAGGATTTGCTCTACAGGATTTGCAGGAGTATTTGCTGTCTAAGTTAAATGTCCCACGCTGGAGATCAGCAGACTGCAGACATACAAAACCAAAAACTGCAGCTACTAAGGGAAGCTTCCACAACAGCCATTAAGCACAGTTATTGATGGCAGACTGTACTGGTTACAATGCATGTACTAACACCAACCTGTGTTTTTTGGCAGACTGTTTTTTTCAAGGCTTTGGTTCAGGGGCCCTTGAGTGAACATGATCTTCCCATGGGCTTCTCCACACAGCATGAGGCTTCACAGATTCAAAGCAACCTGTACCATACATGACATCCGTGTGCACTGCTCCTCAGAAATGAGGTACATCAAGGGACCAGTAAACCAGTAACCTGCCACCTTAAATTCCCTTTCCTGTCATCGTGCTCCCTACCCCCCTTCTAATACTGATGTCTGCCAACGTGTTGGCTTTGGTCATATTGTCATAACGAAGAAGCAAGCCAGTCTGTGTCACACATGGGGATTTCAGGAAGCTAATTAACAGGAGGGAGCTGTGGGAGTTTCTGAGAAGCTGAGCTCTGATGTAACCCAAAGCCATGGACTAGTAAGCTTTTAGATGCTCCAGCCATACATAATTTATGTTTGTCAGTCACATGGCAGCAAAGCTCATTTTGCATAATGGATGCTTGTGATGGAAAAGTGCTTACAGGGTTTCAGCAGAGCAGACAGATCTTTCATCTATCTGTATCAAAGAGAAATTAAACAGTTATGGGAGTTTGCAGCATCCCTGTTGAAAACTCTGAAAGGAAGGCTTTAAAGATGTGCAAAACCTTCTAGATGGCACTTGTGATCACAGCATAGAATGGCCTGGTTGTAAGGGACCATAAAGACCACCGAGTCCCAGCCTCCCCTGCCATGGGCGGGACACCTTCCACCGGATCAAGGCTGCTCAAAGCTCCATCCAACCTGACTTTGAACACTTCCAGGAACAGAGAATCCACAGCTTCTCTGGGCAGCCTGGGCCAGTGCCTCGCACCCTCACAGTAAAGATTTTTTTTCCTAACACATAATCTAAACGCACACTTAGTTTGAAGCTATTCCCTCTTCTCCTGTTACTACGTGATATTCAGAAGTACCGCCGCACGATCGGCCATTTACACCGCTTTCCGATTTGGACAACAATTCCCATTCTCGCCCGCAGTTCCTACAAAAAAAACAGACCCGTCAAGCGGCAGAGCAGTGGGTGGGTGCCAGGAATGCCGCGGCTCGCCCGAATTCTCCGCAGGGGGCGGACGCCGCTGCGGGAAGCGGTGCGGGGCCGCGCGGGACGGGCGCGGGGCGGGCGCGGGACGGGCGCGGGGCGGGCGCGGGGCGGTGCGGAGCGGGCGCGGGGCGGGCGCGGGGCCGCGCGGGGCGGGCGCGGGGCGGTGCGGAGCGGGCGCGGGGCCGCGCGGGACGGGCGCGGGGCGGGCGCGGGGCGGGCGCGGGGCGGCGCGGGACGGGCGCGGGGCGGGCGCGGGGCGGGCGCGGGGCGGCGCGGGGCGGGCGCGGGGCGGCGCGGGACGGGCGCGGGGCGGGCGCGGGGCGGGCGCGGGGCGGCGCGGGGCGGGCGCGGGGCGGGCGCGGGGCGGCGCGGGGCGGGCGCGGGGCGGCGCGGGACGGGCGCGGGGCGGGCGCGGAGCGGCGCGGGGCGGGCGCGGGGCGGCGCGGGGCGGGCGCGGGTCGGGCGTTACCCGCCGTCCGTTACCCGACGGCCCCGGCAGGCACCGGCCCCGGCCCCACCATCCCGGTCCCAATGGACGACGCGGAGCCGCAGCCCGACCCGGAGCCGGCCGACCTGACTTATTTCGGCCCCACCTCCCTCACCTACCTCCCCGTCCTCCAGTGGTGGGTGTTGTCCACTTGCCCGCTGCCCGGGACGGAGTGGGGCTGAGGATGGAGCGGGGAGGTGGCGCGGCTGTCTCTGCTTCCCCGCGGGGCTCGCAGGATCTGCCTTGCCACAGGGAGTGCAGGAGCCCTGCTTTTAACTCTTCTCGCGGTTTCGTAGGGCAAGAGCGTGGTTTGCTGCAAAGGCCCCATCATCGTGGTGATGTATAAACGATACCAAGCAAGCAGGGTAATTTCCCTGAAAGACCATCTTCTGCCACAAGCCCTAGCGATATGGAGGTGGTTTGACATGGGATTTTGTCTCAGCCTACCCACTGGCTGGGATCTAGCCCCTGGCAGCCATGCACTGGATGTGATGCTGCAGGATAGCTCTTGAGGATCTCCCTGCCTGGTGGGCTCTTGCAGCACACAGGTGGCTGCGAGGAGGTGGCACAGGGGCACCCAGGGTGATGCTGGATGTTTGAGATTCTCCAAGGTTATTATTTCTTGAGCTGAAGGTCGAACTCCTTAATGAGACACTTTGTGTAGTGGAGGAAGGCTGTCACCGTTGTTTTCTTGGGCTTTGAGAAGAGCATCATCTACCATGTGACAGCCAAAGAGAAACCAGAGTTACTTCTCTCCCCAAGCACAAATGGGTCCTGCTCATAAATGTTGAAGCTTTTGTGAAACAGTAACAACACATACAAACTTTTAACTCATCAGCAAGTGATCATAAATAATTTTACTCCCCACATCAGTTATACATGAGCAGTGGGAGTTAGTCTGTTTTTTTCACTGTGATATAGATACCACTGCTCCCATTTTGAAAGGACTAAAGAAAGAGATTCATACCAGGTCATTCATCCAACAGGTCTGAGACACAGCATAAAATGGAATCATAAGCAGTCCTTGAAAGGATGAACTAATGATTCTTTTCATCATGACAACCTTCTTTTCATGTTTTGAAAAATGTTGAATGTTCAGCTTCATTTTACAGATGGTGCATTTCCAGTAGCAAACCAGATTTTGGTCCAGAAATGGTTTAACAGCAGATTTGCCAACCTGTATAATGGCCTGGCTGCTAAGGGTTCACACAGAATAGGTGGCAAACCCTAAATGTGAGGTCCTAAAATCAATAGGATAAAAAACCCTACACAGTGTGTGGATACACAGTAGATAAATAGAGGAGGTCTTTCCCCCTGTGCTTTTTCTTTAACCTCTACCTTTCTCCCTTACCACACTTCCCTTTAGAAATTTTGTCTTTATTCACAGTTTTGTTTTGATGCATGCCATAAAAACTCAGGTTTTGAAAACCTTGGGGATAATAAGCAAGAAGAGCAGTGCTGTGCTCTTTTCTGTGTGGATTGCTTTCCTGATAGAAATATTTTTGTATTGTGTGTCAGCACTAAGAAGGTGTTTGACTTACTATTTGAAAAAGACTGGCAGCTTAATTGACAAAAAATTCACTAAATGGAATTCCCAAATACTTTGTTGCTAAGTAGTTAAATGCTGAGGGAAAGCTATTGGCAGAAACCAGCTACTGGAGCATGAATTAATTTCTGATGCACTTCCAATGACTCTTGTGATGTTATATTAAGGATGAATTTGAACTTAAGATTAATCTCCTCTGAGACTGCTCAATTGTGAAGAGTTTTGAGATGCTCTAGAAGAAAAAGCACTTCTGCCTGCTGGGAGGTAGAGCCCATCAGGACTCTTACGTAGAATAAATTTCATTTACCTTTTAGCCTGATGATGGGAAATACCCCATTAGAGCAGCAGATGCCCTATCTTTGGGTGCAGGTTCCTGCTCAGGTCTAGCCATGAAGCCTTTGCTGTTGCATGGTGGGGCTGGAGGTGGTGAGGAGCTGGCAGGGAGCCCAGCAGAGCCTCTTGGGTTGTTGGGTGAGGAGATGGTCTTCAAGGAGGTATAGGTGAGGCATTTGGGGGTCTTTTGCTAGGGGAAAGGAAAGCTGGGGGAAGCAGATAGCATTCTTCAGTGGAAAGAGGGGAGAAGGCACAAATAACAGGTGAGGTAAACATCATCAACTGCACAGAGACCATATTATTGGTCAGTCTGTTCTAGCAAGCTGATTTGCTGTACCTCTTATCCACTGTCTACTGACAAAGCAACTCAGATAAACAACTGGGTTGCCTGAAGTCAGGGTACTAAAGCAGAGGATGCTGATTTAAAATCCAGCTGACTTATCACACACATTTCAACTGAATTGAAAAGTCTGCTTTCCCAACCAACTTGACTGTCAGCAAAGACACAGTGAGTAACCGGCACTGTGCTGCACTGGCATTCAGCTGATAAATTAATTAAATATGCATAAATAGTTTGGTAGAATGGAAACAGAGTCAGAGCAAGAAAGCACCATGATATGAGCAGTGTGTCATGCTTTGAAAATTAATCCCTCTGCTCCTTTGATTCAGCTTTGCTCCCATATTTGTACTGTAGCCTATTATCTTCTGACATCAAAACCATTGGCATTATTTTGTAATTAAAGATCATTTTTTTCCTGATGAAGGTAATATCTTAGGCCAATAAGTAACCAAGTTTACATTTTCCTCACCTTATGCACACAAGTAGTTGCATTTACTTGACTATGACCATTCTGATTAGTAGGATGAATAGGGATTTGGCAAAAGGATGGATATTTAAACACCTAAACCAGTTTCAGTCCTGGTAGTTCTGTTATACAATAACTGTAAATTAAAACTCTGTTCTCCTATTAAACTTATCCTAAAATCAGTGAGGTTATATGAAAACAAAATGTGGTCCTTTATAGTTCATGCACTGTGTCCCAAAATACCATATTGCACATTTTAGGTGGAAAAATGCCCATATTATTATTTTTGGTATAGTGGATTTCTGTTTAGAGAACTGAAGTTAGATCCTCTGATATAACAACATTTTACATATGAGAAATTCTAATACTATCTGTATTGGTGTTAATGTTATATTGGTATTGCTAAGTTGTATTGTTTTAATTTAAAAATTCTGAGAACTAGTTAATTCTTAACAGAATCTCACATGACGTCTCTTGCATGTTGAAAACAAGGAACATAGGGCTTTAAATATTAAAAATTACAAATAAACAAAGAGTATATATATATATTTATATGAAAAAGTATATTGTTTCCCAGGATACAGATTAACACAAAGGAAGTAGCTCTTTTTGATTCTGTGCTTCTTTAAAATTCTGACTATTGCAGAGTTCACTGTAAATCTGATAAACTATAAAAATCTAACAATTCTTTCTTCTAACTCTGACATAAACGAATTGATGATTTTTGTTTTAAAGGCTAGCCGATAATTTCTATTTGTGTGGAGGATGCGCTGTACCCTGCCGGCTACTATATGAGCTGTATATTGAAACCTGCAATGCCAATTTCAAGATTCAAGTACATCCATCCACCTTTGGAAAGGTAAAGAGTACATACAAGATATAAGAGAAGTAGATACAAGATAAGAAGTAGGGAGGCCTAAAGAGAAAGCCTGATCATCAACTATACACACTGCATATCAAAAGACATTAATATCAGAGAAGAATGAATATGTAATGAATTATGTGTGCATTTTCTATTGTATTTTTGCTAAGCCTTCATGTAGATGCATTTGTACCAGAGGAAAGAGTATTCTTTGGGATGGAGTTTATTTTCTTCAGGGAACTGGTGCATGATACACTAGCAAAGATTTCTTTTGCCAATGTATTTTAGAAAGTTTTACAGTTTTCTTTTTTTTAACAGCAGAAAGTTACACAACTTATTCCAAGGAGATGATTCTTCTGTCTTTAAAAGATACCTTCGGTTGTTACATAACTTTATGCTTTCCCTTTTCGGTATACTTGAAGAGATTTTGCTTTAAACATACCCTAAAAAGTTGCTACATAATCATCCAAGCAAAACAAATGCAGATGTAGAACCGAATCTCCTTCTAACAGTTCCATTCTTTATTACATAGAGGTTGATACAACCCATGGAACAACTGACACTTAGAAATCCAAACTGCAACAACACCCATAGCTATTGAAACTTTTTTAGCAAATTAAGGAATATACTGTGATTATTTATTGTTCAAGACTTCTTATTCAGACTTCAGAACTTCCTATTTTTTATGGCTAACTTTCTATTAATTCCCACAGTAAGACTCTTAGTAGTAAGAGCTAGTAAGCACTGTTTTAGCACAAACCCAAAATAATTTAAGTACAAGTTGTACCTGAAGTCAATTTCATTTGTATGGCTAGCCCCATTCTATGAATAATTTATCTCAATTCAATTGAATCTAATTTTTTTACTGCATAAGTTAAATCACTTTTGCTGAAAATTAATATTTGAGTGAGTGATCCAGTGTAATTTATTACCACAGCTTAATGGATCATCACCCATCAGCTAAGACTGGGTAGAATTTGCCTGGCTCAGCATAGACATTGGTCAGGAAGCTTGTCACCTTAAAAATCTCTAGGTAGCCACTGGAGAGAAATAAGTAGCTACACATGTTTCCTCACACTAAATGAGTCACCTCAGACAGCTCAGATGAAAGGGGCCTCAGAACTGCCATTTGTTTTTTCCCCATTGACTACATAGTCTGCAGCAACTATCTTAGACTTCTCTGCCTCATAGCCATGTAGATGAGATTAAGCCTATCCTCCTTGTACCCTTCCAGTGCTCCAGCACGGCTGAGTTACCACCTGTAAGCTAAGCCTTCATGTGGTTTACCTTAATGTGTTTGACTTTTATTCTGGGACAGGCACAGATGAAGCGTGTGAGTCTGTTCACATGGAAAAGCTGACGTGCCAGAGCTGCTGTGGGCTGCTGCTTGCAACTATTTGCTTGCAGCCTCAGTCAACCCAGTGCATTGCAGTGCAAGTTGACACATCCCAAAGCAAGCGGCTGGGGTGCAGCTCCCCAGTGGCTTGAAATTGTCTGGCCTTCTGCAGCAGGAGAATGGACCTTGTAGCAAGAAACTGAGGAGAGCAGGAACTGCAGCAATCCTGGTTTAACCTGAGTGCATGTGTAAACACCAAAACATATAATGGGCTGAACTATTAATAATTTACCAAGCTGTAGTAATCTGACTGTGCTCCATGTGTGTGGACTGCAAGGGCTTTTGCAGCCCCATATGGATCAAACTATGGTGGTTGAAAACACTACTAATTTCATCTGCCCTATCCCGCTGCCCAAAAATATATCACTGTTTCTGTAAGGAATGCAACGGGAGGAAGGATATGTTTTGTGCCACAAAAGCCCCAGTTTCATAGGCTGTCCTTTTAGAAAAATTGGATTATGCTAAGCTATCAATTTGAGAAAGAGAGCAGCTGGGGTAGGTGCATGCAGAAACATGCAATGAACAGGTCCATCATAAAAACTAGAGGTGTACGTTGATGAGTCCTTTACAAAGCCTTTGGACCAGCAACACACTGTGCAGAGTCCATGTTTGTGCTGCTCAGCAAGTCTCAGTGGAGACTCTTCTCACTCCTTGCTAACAGGGAGTAGTACATCCTCTGTTCCTGCTGTATTGGGAATATTAGTGTCCTGGGTTAGTCCTGGACCCAGGTGTCTTGAGTTAGTCTCTGTTAGTCTCAGGACAGCTCATGCAGAATCATCATAGTGAAGTGGTTTATAAAACCCTGACAGTATCTAATTACTCTGTGCAGCCCAACCTTGACAGATGCTGCACGACCTCAGTTCACACCACCACAGTGGTCAAAAGGTTTTCTTGCAGCTTGATGATTCAGGTCCTTTTAAGACAGGTAAATCTGGCCCTGTCCTGTCAGTACACCTTCCAAGGGTAAGTGGGTAGGTGAAGCCCCTTGTGTAAGTCCTTCTTAAATGAATAAGACTTGAAGGTCTGGCAGAGTATGGAACCATCAGGGCACCTTCAAGTTCCCTCAGCTGATTGATCCTGCCCTGGCTGCAGGGGGTCTCTTGGTGTGAGCACTGTTTTCTAGTGCAAACTATAAAAAAAAAAATTCCTACCTGAGAGAGGTAATCCTTTAAATTATTTAGCTTTGGATCCGCAAATGTCCGATTGAGTTTAGTTCACCAGTTACCATTTGAGAGGCACGTAAGAACAGGTATTAGCCTGGAAATTATGAAAAGCAAACAAAGTGATTAAAGACAAAAAAGTGTTCCAGATACATTGTTACATCTTTGAATGAATTTGCTACGTATCTCTAATTTTCTGTTTGTTTATACAGCTTATTCAGTTAGTTTTCCCAGGCCTGGTGACAAGAAGGCGGACCACAGCAGGGAGTATCAGGTTTGTGTCCTTTTTTTGAAAATGTTATTTATAACTATTCTCATAAAATTTTAAAGTGGATGACTTTTCAGCCCCAGCACTGTCATATGGCAGCTGAATTGTTGGTTGCAAGTCTGTAACACAAGATCCAGAGTAATTCATGGTGTAACCAAGGACATTAAAATAGAGTTAATTCCATGAAAACCACCACATCCAATCTGTTTTGGTAAGGCATGAATTCCAGACTGGACTGCTTTTTAAAAGACCTTAGTCCTCCAATTTGTACTGGCTATTAACAGCATGGTTTGCACGAAGCATGTGCCTGACATCACAGCCTTACTGAGAGCTCTTCAGATACTGCATCTCTAGGCCAGGAAAGGATCTGGGATGCACAGGGGTGGTGATTAATGATCAATGTCCATATTGTGCTGTTTGTCCTTGCACACATCCATGGAGTGACCCAGTCAATGGTCAATGGAAGTGCTGTACAGCTTCAAACCGTTCAAATTGGACAACTTCAGGTCCTCCTCCTAAACGTCCTTTCTTTTCCCTTCCTTCTCTTCTAGAGTGCAGAGTTTGATGCTTTTTCATATCCAAAGTTATACACACACGCTGAACATCCAGACTAGGAAAAAGGATGTTTTAAGGTCATTGAGACTGAATAATTTTGCAAGCATTTTGTGTAGCTATCAAGTATGGGCTTTGAGAACAACATGCCCTGACCTGTCTCCACTAGCTTGGACTTGCTAGGCCTAGCTAGCCTAGCTTGAGCTAGGAGATCCTTTATTTTGGGAGTGCCTCACCTCCGACACTCCTAGGCTCCTGCTCACAGCAGACAGGATTTGGGATGGTGTTTGGTGGGCTCCATGCTCTCCCCACCAGAAGGTTACCTGCTCCTGGCTGCAGGTGGCTCTGGAGCATAGCACTGCTCCCCTGGCTCCTGGTGACCCAGACTGGGAGGAGACAGCACCTTGGTAGCAGCAATGGTGGCTCTGTTTCTCACCGAGTTCAGATAAATCTTACAGAACGTCTGGCAGTTTTCTTGAGTTTTAGCTTGCCATGACACTGATGGGCCGTCAGTCACTGAGCTACTGTAAATGGCCAAGGAATACCTGTACTAAGTTCTTCAACTCTCTGTCTGCTAAGAGTCTGTTTCCTGACTTCACTAACTGTCCTGTACAAATCTGAGGCACTCCATTCAGATGGAGTTAAATAGAATGAGCATTTCCTTTCAAGAGAGGATTATGAATTATTTGCAGACTTTTTGAAAATCATATAGTTAATATTTTTTAATTTTCTAGATACCATTATGATGGAATAGCTATCAAGAAGGAGTCTTCCTTTTATGCACGTTTTTGCTGTCTTCTGTATGAACAAAATTATCTCAGGTTTGTTTCTAAAAATGTTTTCATCAAAAAATGTCCCATGTCTATATGTTTTCTGTCTATGAAAATCTGTTAGTCTTCTGTTGAATACTGAGAGTAGCATTATATTTTTCTTCTCATTATAAACACTATGAAAGTGCTGTGCCATTAAGTGCTGTGCCCTAATAGACAAGCTGCATTTTGGAAACAGACACTGCCTAATTAGTCTTCCTAAAATTGGATGTTTTAGCCATGTAGATCTTAAGAGGAGAAACTCATGCTGAACCTAAAAGAAGAGCTTAATATGTTGAGACTCTAAATGGGAGCTCAAAAAAATCATATTGAAATGGCTTCTTGACATTCTATCACCTTCCTCATTAAACTCTAGGCTGGAAAAATGTATTACAGTATAAATGACTGCGCTGTTTTGAAGAGTCCTGCACACAATCTTGTTATCTGGGGTTTTTACTGCTTGAAACAGTACTTCAAAAATACTTCATTCACTTGGTTTTAAAATATCAGATTTTAAAATCACCTCTTGTAAGATAACATTAATAAGAAAATGTTTAAGACAAATAAAAATGGATTGCAAAGCTTAAAAGCCTAAAATTCTGAAATGAATGTAAGATACTATGGTAGGTTAAAGGACAGACAAGAGCATTTTGTGGGCAGGAGAGGAAGAATTCTCATGGCTGAGCTCATGATTCAGATAAATAAACCACAATCTTGAATTTCTTCCCAGAAAGGAAAAAAAAAAAAAAAATAGGGAAATGCTGCCATTCTGCAGCAGTTTTAGCAGTTTTACACTCCTTTACACTGAAGAAAAAAATTTAGGTGCAGTCTGTGCCTCAGACTTTGAAGACCAGGTTTGTATCCTCATTTTCTTACACTCTTGTACATTACTTTAGTGTGTATATGGGTAATGGTTTCCATTCTTTAATAGGGAGATACAGCATTATTCTATGGCATGAATGCTAGGACCATACAAGTCAGCCTGTAAGGACCGGATATCTGGTGATGCTGAAACTGTTTCAGTGATCTTTTATATAATAGTTACTTAATTGAATGCACGCTTTGGAAGAACATGGAAAAATTGCACCCATAGGTTTGTTGCCTTTCTTCCCAGTTTTTATGGCAGGTAATGGTGCAGAAGTCCATAGAGGGACAAGGGTTAATATTGAGACAGGACAGAGGATCAGGTTCTGTAGATGATCGACTGGCAGTCTGTTGTTGTGAGACTAAACAAATTATTCATAGGAAATTTGAGGCTGGTTTCCCATGTCGCGCTTGCTGAAAGGATACCCTTCACTTCCTCTGTACCTAGTATACCCAGAACAGGCCTAAGGCTGACACCCACAATGAGGAAAGGTCTTGTCCACTGTTTAAGGGATATTGCAGGTCTTGGCTAAGTCTGCTGGTCTTTCCTTTTCAGGGAAAGAAAGGTGTCTCCCTGCAGCATCATTTAAAAATAGCAATCTTGATGGGCATAAAAGGAAAGGAGATGGTTCTGGTAATATAAGAGCTGAGAGAGAACAGAATGATTTGAATTGATGCTCTTTTCCCCTCCCATTGTAGAAACATGAGGAAAAAATTTATAAAGTCAGAGGAACCAAAGAAGCAATGTAAGCTAAGTTTGGTGCAGGTGCAGAAAGAAGGGCTTCAGCTGGGAGAGAGACACAGCACATATGCCAGCATAGCTTCTGTCTTTGGCCCTCCTCATGGAAGTGAGCCATCTCCTCTATAGGGAGATGGGGAACACCCTGTAGGTCATGTTTAACCATAGGGGAACTGTTGCCCTGGCTGCTCCAGACCTTCTCCTCCTTCTCCACCAGCTGCAGAGGTGCCTGCCCAGACACCTACTCCTAAAAAACTGTGTTTAATTTGGCCAAGGCAAGGAATAGGATATGCTTTCCAGGGAAATGACTGATATCAACCAGCCACCTACTGATCTTTATATTAGTTCTTAAGAAACCTGTCCTATTGAGAAAAGGCTGAGGGAGTTGGCATTCTTCAGCCTGGAGAAGAGAAGGCTCCAGAGACTTTAAAAGCACCTTCCAGTACCTAAAGGGAGCCTTCAGAAGAGCTGGGGAAAGATTTTGTACTGAAAGAGAGTAGGCTTTGACTGGATATTGGGAAGAAATTCTTTACAGTGAGGGTGGTGAGACACTGGAAGAGGTTGCCCAGAGAAGCTGTGGATCCCCATCCTTGGAATTGTTCAAGGCCAGGTTGGATGGGGCTTTGAGCAACCTGGTCTAGTGGAAGGTGTCCCTGCCCTTGGCAGTGGGGTTGGACTGGATGACCCTTGATGGTTCCTTAGAAACCAAACTGTCCTATGATTCTATAACTTCTCAGATAAAAAAAAACCAAAAACAAAACAACAAAATATAAAGATCATATTCAGACAAAGATCATGTTTCTAGCTGCAGTAGAAAAGTCCCTTAACTACAAAATTATCTTGTCTGATGCTTCCTTCATTAAAGACAATTTTAAGAAGACACTAAGATGTTGAGGCAAGCCAGACAGCTGAAATTAGAACAGCTTCCACTCTAAATTCAGCTACATGTCCCTGTCCCAAGCCAACATGCAGGCCCACAACACCTGGGCAGATGGGTGTCACAATTACTTCTTAGTATCTCATATAGCACAGCAGGAAAAAACAGAGAGAAAGCAGTAGAAAAGCACAAAACACAGCCAGAGAAGGATGAGTAGCACAGCTCTGAAAGAAATAATTAGGTCACATACTAAAAAAGCTTCTGCTTCAACCAAATAAGTGAGCTAGTTTCCATATGTGTGGAGCTTTGTAAATTTTTTGCAATTAAGTAATGAAGGAAATAACTAATCTTTACTGTCCTATCAGTACAGTTCAGTACTTTTTGAAATCACTATTCATTTTTCGTCATCCAATCAAACTGATAAAACCAGCAATGGAAAAGTCTAGATTGTTTTTTACTTTAAAAAATTGAAATTTTGAAAAAGTAATTAAAACCTGATGACTTCTTTACCTGCAAGAAGAAATTGTGTTCTCATATAAATAATCATATGTATAAACGCAACAGGGTATTTGACCTATAATCTCAATTTTTGAGAGTGTATTTGTGTGGAAATTTCCGAATCAGAGTGAAGATGATTTTTAATGTACCATTTCAGTGCAGTCCAGTGCCAGTCTGTTTTCCAGACCCCTCTAATGGGATAACTTCTCTGGCTTGTTGCCATTTGCCTCAGGCAGGGGCCGGGGATATCTGTTTCAGTAGTGAAGGTGTCCTGAATAGCTACTGCGCCCTCCCATGCCTGAATAAAATCCAACATGCAGATGCTTTTTCTGTCACACTTACCAGAGAGGAAAGTGGATCCCTGAGCCCAGCTGAGAGACCACGACATCCACCAGCCAGTGCGTTGGCAAGGGAAAAAATGGTTTCAAAATCATGGGCTCTTTCTAACTACTGAAAAGGATATTTCTAGACCATGGTAGCCAGCAACTGACATGGTGTTGGTAGTGAGGAGCTAGGCTTCTGAAGGATCTGGCAGCCTGCGAGCTATGCTTGTGGGTGTCACAGAAATGGCAGTAAGATTATAATGGTTTGCCTTTAAATACAAAGAAGGTGTTTACATTTTGGTTGTTGGTGGGACCTCAGATGTGTCGGGGTTGGAACATTTTCACACAAGGGGTGAAGAGGATGGTCTTACACAGCACCTATGAATTGGTTTGTTTAGAAATCTTCAATTCGTTGAAGATATGTGTACCACTGCTCTGATGATGGTGCTATGAAAATAGTGTAAATATATGCAACTGTAGTCAATGAGCTCTGCAAATGTATTACAGACACGAGTTAATATGGTATTTACTGATTTGTATTACAATAGAATGTGTTCCCTCTCGGAATGGGAGCTTTGAGGATAAGCTCTCCCTAAAATGGTACCTGGTCTGGCTCAGAGTACAGCAGTGTTTAAAAAAATGTAATTGAATTTTGATTCTAGTAATAGGCAAGGTTTAGGCTCCTGACTAGTGAAGCAAATGTACTATTTTTTTATTTAAAAAAAATTATTTTGCTTCTAGCAAATTGACTTTTCTAGTCTCTGTGTAATCTGACAGTCAAAAGCATGCACATTCACCACCTTCCCTCCTTTCATTTTTCTTTTGTCTTTTCCATTTGCATCTCTGTTATTCTTTATTTCATCCCCATTGTTGTATTTCCCATTTTAGTTTTAATTCCCACCCCATAGCATCGTCCAGACTCTGCTAGAGAGATGTTGAAACTCCTTGTGATCTTTTTGTCTCCCATTTTCCCCTTCTCCCACCCACCTCCTCTTTTGTGTGTTCTGTCTTTACCCAGGCAGTGCTCTCCGGGGAAAGAGAGCATCTCTGATGTGCAGCCGAGCACCAGGTGAGTCCCAGCCCCTTTTGGTAACAGTGGGAGCACACAGAACTGTTTGTTAGTGTCCCGTAGGTGTTTGCACTTAACCAGCACCGAGGTCCTGGCTGGCTGCTGGGGCACAGAGGACTCCTTGTCTGTCCTCCACATCCCTGTGTCAAGGGAGTGGGGAGCCAGGCTGCCGAGGGAACCAACGCACTGGAGGTGTGCCATGCTGATACGTGTTGCCATAGTAGCAGCAGCAGAAGATACAGCTGGCCGCCTTCTCAGGGAGAGCAGGAGCTGGAAAATATTCATTAATTTTATTTCACAGGCTTTAGAAATCTGCAGGAAGGACCTATTTGAAAAAAGTGTTATGAAACATCTCTACGTACATGTGTTTGCTTTGTCCAGTCACCACTTCTAAAATGTTCGGGCGAAAGAGTCACCAGCACTACCAAACATACTCAGCATGAATGTTGTGCCCTGTCTTGGGCAGCCAAATTGGTAGTTTTGCTGGAGCACAGCCTTCATGGCATGGAGTAGGGCAGAGGGAAAGGTGGCAAGGGCCAGGCCTGTGGATGGCAGAGAGTGGAGAGGAAGCCTTTTCAGTGGCTGGAGTTTACAGGCAGACAAGTTTTTACATTTTGTCCTCTGTCTCTTCAGGGCATATGGTGGTACCCTGGTTTGTAATGCATCACAGCAGTGAAACCCAGTAGCCAGGTTCTGATTAGATAGCCTTCCACCCTTCTAAACAGCCAAGTCCAGCAGGACCCTTGAGTTTGAAATGCCTTCACAGAAAGTGAGCAGGTGTCAGCAGCAGATGGAGGCTTGACTGGAGACATCCAATTTTTGCAGCATGTCCCTTTTACTAGCAGCATTGCCTCTCCCTCTGCTACCATCAGCCTTGACAAAACAGGCAGGAAGAGATCTAGGAGAAAGTACAACGAGAAAGCAGCCTGTTGTGCCTGCTTTCAGCAACAAGCCAGTGGCCAAGCCTTTGCTGGTCTAGGTAAATTCTGACTGTGTGGAACACCATGGCCAACTTGCAAAGTAAATGGGAAGCAGTCAGAAACAAAATGCCATCTAAACTTATGTGTGATGCAGAAATGTAATAACTGTGAAACCTAAGCAAAAGGATTATAATGATTTTGTTATTTTCATATTTGTAATAGTTATTATCATTCCAAACAACTGCAGCTAGAAATACAAACCCACGGTTCTGGTGCAAGAAGTTCAAAGACATTGCACTGTTAAATGGTCAATTGTCATTAAAATGAATGTTTAAGTTTAATCTTAAAATTCAGAAGTTGGTCCCAGATTTGTTAGAAAATCATGGGGTTACTAAATGACAGGAAAGGGAGTGGGGTTTGTGTCCCAAATACAATTCTCCAACCTAGTGTACTCTATCGAGTTTGAGCTCATTTTCTTACTAAGTACAGAATGAATCAGTGAGCTTTTGAATGTTTGTTTGTTTATTCTGTTATTTATTTTATCACAGTAGAAGTTCCTGGAGTTCTGAAAATGCAGCTGATTACAAGAAGAACAGAGAAAAAAAAGAAACAGTGAGTTTCAGATACATTAGACAAAACAAAATGTCTATCTGTGTGTTTAACTACAACTTCCATCTAATATATTCTGATGAAATACAGCTAGCCCATCTTCCTCAAAATAATCTTGATCTGTGTAATTTCACTACATGCTTAGTTCCCCCACTCCTATTTTCTCTATTAGCTAAATATTTTTGTTGTCTTAACATCAGCTCAAATAATCTTTTCTGTACTGAGAGCAGAAATTGTGGCTGACAGATCAGGTTTTGAACATTAGGGGACTTAGTGGGGCACAGCCTTCCTTGCCTGAGGCCCACAGTAACAGACCCGCATGCTGTTGAGATGGTGTCTTCTCAACACATCGTCTCTTACTCAACGATGACATCAACATGCTCGGAGTTTATTGTCATGAGAAGTATTTAAATACTAGGAAATTATTAAGAAAAAAGAGCACAATCCACAGAAAAGGGCAGATGCAAAATTAACCTGTGGCAGTTCTCCCCTCAGCAAGCTGTTATGGGATGACCTGACACCAGGTTTGTTGGGTGTCAGCCAGCAGAACATGGGCAACAAACTTTGGTAGACCAAAGTGAGGAAAAAATGAGAGGCTGGATGTATGACTCCTACCAAGTGCTTGGGTGCAGTAATGAGTGCTGTGACATGACAGCCAATGAGAAATGTCCTGTCATCCCACAGCACAGCCAGCCATCTGCAGCCTTATGCAGAGGATTACAAGTGTGACATAAGTGCTGTAGAAAATATATATTGAAGATCTGTATAGCATTAAATATTTACTGGTTTTGAAAAGAAATTGGTGTACAGTTTAGAATTTAAACATTTAGGCAGCCCTTCTTGTTCTTTTCACCCACCCCTGTTTCCTAAAAAAAGACAAGTGTGGCAGCACAAGCATTTCTCTAAAGAAATACATCTTATTATAAAATCATGTCCTACAATTTCAAGAAAATGCTTAACACCTTTAACCAAACTGACAAAGTAATTGCAATCTTTTTTTTTTTTTTTATTGTCCAAAATAAATTCTGATGCATCAAGAGTACGAATTTGCAGTATTATCCATCTGTCATTTATCTGAAGACTGAACAAGAGACATTTCATTACCTTTCTCCTGATTTCAACCAGTTCTTCTTTGGAGAACAAGCACAAAGTGAGACATACCCCGGTGAACTGGTATGTTGAAAGTACATGGCCATAAAACAAGTTAGCTCTTTTCCTGTGAGATCATTTTGTTCCCTCTTTTTGCTAACAGATTGCACTGCTTGCCAATGACTACTACAACTATTGTCAAGTTATTTTACAAATGGTGAGAGAAATGAAGCTTGACAAGGTATGTCTTTTTTTTAATAACATTTACTCTGACAACAGCAAACAACTGTAAGGACAAAATTATGTCTGTGTAGCTTATTTACTTGATGGTTTGAGCTAAGGTAGATGATGATTAACAGACAAAAGGAGCATTCAGTCAAGTTATTTTAAAATTCTGAATTAACACAACATAACTGCAAGAATATGAGTTTGTACACATATCCTGAGCCCTCCTGGCACATCAACAATTCTGAGCTGAGCACATAACACATAGCCATGGATACATATCTTTAATTACATCCTCACAATTCTTTGTTCCTTCCTCTTTCGAACGTTGCCTGATGAGGTTCAGCTTGTTGTGGCTTCCCCAGCACACTTCCACTTACACTGGAGCCCAGCCAGAATGGGCCCAGGCAAAGAGCCCATCTCCATGATCATTCCTTTGCTTCTGTGTTTGTGTGTTGTCTTACTGAATTATACTTCACATTCCACAAGTGTAAAATCAGTGAAAATTCATAAAGGGCTTTGTGTGGCAGGTGGAAGACTGTATCATGTCATTCTGGACATCTCTGCAGCCTGAAAGAATACAACTGATGTGCCTGCCAGATGTGTGCCAGCTGTTAAAAAGCTATGATAGGTATCTATTCAAGGTACTGCACACACATTTGCTTGTTGTAGTTATGCTATTACGTGTTTATGTCTTTTTGGTAGCTCTAAGGAGAAGAGCCCTCTCTTTCTTTTGTGCTGTACAATGGGATTTTTTTTTATTCCTCAACTCTATCTTTTTGCTTCTTCTGGGACAGCCCGGTATGAGTTTTGGTTTTGAAAGGAGACACTGGAATTTGGGATAGCTTCAATTTTTCTCCTATATATTAATTTGAAAGTTCCTAATATCAGTGGAGTGTGCTGTTAGAAATGTGGTTTGTGGTTCTGGCATGAGGTTATGCGACTGAAATTTCAACTGATGATGATTTTCCAGATTATGAGAGTTACTTTTCCTTTGAGAATACAACTGCATTTCTCAGTGACCTTCCACATAGAAATATGCAGTTTTCTGATAAAAATAATTTGCTTCTTATTTCCAGCAGGTCATTAAGTATTGTCTAGAAATTAATTCAGGTATCAACATTTACTCTTAGGGTCTTTGTCCTTCTACTAAAAAAGTTAGCTTAGCTCTTGCTTAATTGGAAGAAAAAAGATGTGTTTCTTTACACTTACATTTAAACTATCTATATAATTTTATTTTACGCTGCTGTAAATATCTGTGGTATACCAGTCAAATACAGCATCATGAATTTGTATTCTAGGAATTGGAGAACATCCTACTTCCTGATTTCCTGGAGGAGGTGCCTGCACAACACATAGACTTAATCAGATCATTCAGTGAAAATGTTCAATGTTGGATGCTTAATCCTTTGGGAGGTTTTCCATTACTGCTCCAAACATCCAAGTCTAATGGTAGGTTTGAGTAGGAGAGGTATTTTCAAAAATAATCTTTGGTTAAACTGCAGAGAAGATTGTATTACAAAACTCTTAAATTATTTTTAAAAATTAGCTGATGTAACACTGATAGCAGCAACAATTAGAGTTAGTTGGCATACAGTTAAAAATAAATGGTCTTGCATAATGTGATGAGAACAGACTTAAGCCAAAAGTTTTCCCAATTCATTGAAATTGAAATGTACTTAAATTGAAATGCACTTAAATCTTTTTACAGATCTGTCTCTTGCCATGATTGCTTTGGCCATGTAGATGACCAATACTATGCAGCATGCCCTCTGAAACTCAGATATTATTGTGTCTCTTCCTCTTACAAGTGGCTTTATGCTGATAAATTAATTAATGGCTGTAACAGACCAATATAAAAGGAAAAAAGCCATAGTCCCATAGGGTATAGACAATCGGAAAAAATCTGTTCTCTACAAAGCTGTGGTTTATGTGTGTGTTTGTAAATATGTACACACACACACACACACACACACACACACACACACACACATATATTTATACCTGTTATGCTGAAGATTCTGACTAAAACATGTTGATAAGGGGATCATTGAGTGAAGACCAACTCTACAGTGGTAAAGCAGGAGTCCTGTGTAGGCAAAAGTTTGTGTTAGGATTCATATGCTCAATATTGCAGACAGGCTTAATTTTGGCATTTCCTACATTTGAATGCTTGACAGAGCAAACATAGGAATGTGTTTATAACATGTGTGTGCATAGAAGTGTATGTAATTAATCAGCTGTGGCCCTATGTATATACATCTTGGTTTTTTCTGGTTTGTACAAATATCATAGAAACACAAATTTTCACTTTTAAATCATTGTCTGTCTACAGAAGTTGCTTTGTACTTGATTTCCCTGCAACTGAGAAACAGTTATTTATTTTGCTTTGATGAAGTGTGTTCTTGGACCATACTTTTCCTAATTACATACAACACATTGTAAACAGGATAAAAGTAGAACAAAATAAACCAACTTGTATCAACAATGCTGTAGAATTATAGATGCATAAAGGTCAAAATGTAAACTATATAAACAAAATACAGCAAGTTTACATTAACATTACTTTCATTCACCTGAAACTGTACAAGTAAAAGAGCATTAGTCTTAATTTGGAAGTATTAAATGTAAGAAAATATTAAAAGACATTTTCCTGCACATCATGGATTAATAAATTCACCGTGAAGGAAGAGTGGTGAGCTGGGCAGCTTCTTGCAAGCTTTGACAGCAAGGGTCCCCAGCCCATCCAATAATGCTGGCTCAGTGCCCCTGCTGTGCCGCCCATTACCCTCTATATCTCCCGATGGGAACTACTTTCTAACTTAAAAGATGTCTTCATTAATGTATTTTAGACTGTAAAATATTAATGATATGAAACACCTGCCTCTTCTTCTTTAACAGAAGCTAAAGAGTTTGTAAAAAGGCTCAGGAGACAGACAGACCTTTGCAACATGGTCAAGGTATGTTCCAGAATTCATAAAAAAAAATCCTGCTGGGAATCTCATTCCTGTGAGCTGTCTGCACTATTTTTGAAATATTCCATTGTAGAACAAGTGCAGCAGCATGGATGTTCTTAACTGAAGACCGGCCATGTCATGCTCACTTAAGCATGCTGAGGGGACATTTTCCTCCCTCTGGATTCTTCTGAAAGCCTCTGAGATACAGTTGATGGTAGGCCATGGAGAGGAGAGCATGGTAGTAGGAAGGGTCAGATGACAGCTTCCATTATCTTTGCCCATCCACGCCAAAGTCAGTCAAGAGCATATGCTGGAGCATTCTTTCCATTGGTGTCCTTGGATCATTCCAAATCCTTGGCTTTTGAGGTGGTCTGTGCTATAACAGAAAAAGGAAGATCGCAAATAGGGAAGACAGCAAGAGAGAAGAGGGGATATATTCCCTCCTTCAAACAAGTACAAGATTTTCCCAACCTGCCATCTGATTTGAATTGTTACTCAGATGGAAGGGAAGCAGGGCAAATGAGGGAGGGACGGGAGGAACTGCAACTTCTTGGGCCACTAAATATAGCTTTTCTTTATGGGAAAACTTCATCACCAGCAGGAAACAAAACACTTCCTCCTCTTGCTTTAAAAAAAAAAAAAAAAGAAAAAATTGTAAAAAAAAAAAACCAAACCAAAAAAAAGCACAGACATGCATAAAGGTGCTTACACACACAAAAAGTTGACTTCCATGAAGTACTGCTGAGCACTCACATTTCCACTAACTGCAGCAGCCCTTGGAAATACTAGTATCTGAAAATCTCAATTTTATGTGCTTCTAAACAGATCTTATGCATAGAAGAGCATGATCCAGCACGATCACGAGTGTCACCTATTCCCAGACATATGTATTTAATTTGCATACTCAGGCTTCAAATCATCCTTCTTGTTTTCAAGCCATGACGTCAAAGGGCTGGTTGTAGCTCTTTCAGTCTTCCTTGTCTATTCTTAATGTGTGGAAGAGCTGCAGAATCAAACCTGGATTTACACCCTCAAGATTTAGGGCAAGAGAATTGCAGCAATTGGAAGAAGTTCTCTAGAAGAAGCCTCTGGGTGCTCTAAATCTCTTTTACACTGTTTAACCCACACAAATTGAACACAGCAGACCTGAGAATCGGGGTCAAATTTACACTTCTAACGTTCACAAGTAAATGTTTGTACCTTCTCTAGAGCCTCTTCAAAACACAAGGGAAAACTAAGAGTTTTACTGTCTTGATATTTTGGGGTAGTGAGTTCCAAGGTTTAATTATTTGTTGTATGAAAAAATACTTTCTTTCATTATTTTAAAATTTCTACCCCGCTTCAAGCAATTCTTCCTGCAAACCTGCATCACATCCTGCCTCAGTTATTTCTCTCTAAAGGTGAAGTTTATCTCATCTTCTCACATAGGAGTAATTTGATATTTCTAGTCAGCCTTCTCAGTTTTCTGTCTAAAATGCATCTGGAATTTCATCTAAAGACTGATGGTCAGAGCAGGCCAGAGTGCTCCTGATGAGAAGTGCTACACAGGCACTGTGCATCTGCAACCTCTGAATGCTGTAACCACACCATCCCTTGTGGAGTACTTCACAATAATTCAGCCACCTGGAGAGAAAGTAAGAACAATTTTGGCAGGGTCAGCATTCAAAAGAAAAAAGGTAACTTTCCCACCCTGTGTAGATAAAGCAGGCTGACAGCTGGTACTTCCTGGACATGTAGAAATAATTAGAGCATAAAAAGGTGCAAATTCCCTGTGAGAAAAGAATGTGAATATGATGCTTGTCATTTTCTGGGTTGTCTCTGGTAAGTTGTATTTGAGTGTTGAGAGGGCTGTCTCTGAGTCATTTTGGAGATTCATGTTTAGCATGGTAAAATGCAATGTCTAAAGGGATCAGTCTAAAGTGTTGGGGCATGGAGTTAGGTATTAACAGCCTACTGAAGATACAAGACACAAAGTTCCCAGCCTTTGTGTCTTGTATTCTTTTTGCAGGCTCTTTTTCTGTCACTGGAAAATCCAAGTCAAATAAGAAGAATGCCTTTGTCTTTAATTTATATTAAGGAATTGCTAAGCGAGAATCAGATTGGGTTTGGTATTTGAAAAAAAGTTAGCAGTGTGATGAATAATAGCTGTATTGATAATTTTTGCAAATAAATGGTCAGCTGCATTCATTGCTGCTTGTGGGGTCATGTTAAGCACCTGGTGAATGGAATTTGTTAAAACATGTATGAATCCTGAAGTTTTCTGGAATTTTACATACCATATTTTTCCACTGAAAAGCCCAACTGGACAAGGGTTATTCACAGAAAAGCCTGAAGTCCAAAAAATGCTTTAGGATCTTACTGATTTCAGTCTAAGAGACTAAAAGTAGTTGTTAACAAAATTTAATGGACTCAGATTTAGTTACCTTGACTTGTTTTAATTGTTTCATCAAGAATCTTAAGGAATATTGTGTGATATAACCACTAATTTTAAAAAGTGAAGAGATTATGATAAGTGGTAGTCTGAAAATTGTTTGCAATATCTCTGTGAATAATAGTTTTTGAGACAAATAGATTCATTCACAAATGACGCATAAGCAGATAAATGGGATGAAATACCAACTAATACTGTTTTAACTAATACCATATTTCTAATGTTATTTTTACTTTCTCAAAGGCTTGACCAACTTGAGAAAACTTGCAACAATTAAATTGCAATATGAATTAAGGACAGATAACACTGAAGGAAAGTAATTCCTGATACACCATTCCAAAATAGACAAAATATCATTATTCAGTGTAATTATAATAACTCTAGGCATAGCCAATTGCCCAGGCAATTGCCCAGATAATTCAAGTATGTTAGCCTTGTCTGCTCCACCACAGACAACACAGAGCATCATTGAAAAGGACATCTCTCAGAAAAAAACTCTCTTGAAGACAATTTTAGATTTATCTCCTTTGATCCTATACCCACCCCCCACACCCTCAGTTTGGAGACTGGTCATATGAAGTCTAGTATTGAATAAGGGAAGCTTTCCTTTTTCAATTCCCTTATTTGGCTGAGTTAAGAGCTTGAGAAAATGAAAGGCATTAACTGTTTTTTTATTTTCTGCAGACAGTAAGAGCACTCTTGAACAACAACAGCACAGTCACTGTTCTGCGATCAGGCTTGCATGCCATCTTCAAAGAGAAATCTCTGGATGTGACTAAGGACCTCTTTCAAGAGAAGTCTAGGAATCCAAAGAAACGGCAGAGAAACATACAATTAAAATGTAATTAATTTTTTGTATTTATTGTCTTTCCTCTTAAGCACCAGCTTGTCATTGTGGAAGGTCCAGCATTTCCTCTTGTTGATTCCTGACATCTGTCTTACTGGGAATTACAGTCTTCCTGTAACCTGAAGGGCTAGAAAAGAGACAGTAAAATTGAGAATTGAGCATGAGGCAATATCCTCCTAACTTTAAAGGTTAAGAATTAAAGGCTTTTGGTTCTGACTCACTTAAAGCTTTTTGTGACAGCAGGAGTGGGGTTTGTGTTACTGAATTATGTATTTCCTAGAAGAAGGTTGACAAGCAGGGATATTTTTTCATAGTTTCTTTTGACAGGAAAGATGTTTTCAATCATTGCATTTTCTTCTGTTATTAGTTGAAGCACACAAAATCAGTTCTTGTGGCCAAATTTAAAATACTGAATGCTGAATTGGACAAGGCCTTTTAGCTTTGGTGTCCTTTTGCTGTATTGTGGCCTGTGGGATCAATGTTGTGCTGTGAACAATAAAATACACAGTTTGTGTGCAGCTGTGACATAATGATTTGATGGATTCATGAAAAGGAATAGAATGGCAACTTAATTTTTAGATTAATGGTCTGCCATTTAAAATATTAGGAAGAGATAGGCAAGTTGGACTAGGCTGTGCACAGAACTAACTGGTGGAACCTCAGCTCTTTGTTCCTGGTCCATCACCGACTCATGCACTGACAAGGGATTTGTCACAGGCTTTCTGTGACTGCTTTCAGTAGGGATAACAACTTGCCTGCTTTACAGAACCATCAGGAGAACCATTTCAATAATATACATATACATATACTATACATATACATATACATATACATATACATATACATACTAAACCCAAAACCACTGCATAGAACACTTATTACATTTTTTGTCGATGGTCTTAGTCTTCCCAAGGTGGTTTTATTGAATTCTCTGTTTTCATAGCTTTTCCAAACTGTCATTTGTAATAATCAAGGTTTCACTGAACTTATCCATATGCTTTCTTGAAGGAAGAGGTCTCAATTAGAAGGGTATAAATTCAGGGAGGTGCAATTTACCTTTTGGCATTGGGTGGTAGGTGCTAAACTTTTGGTGAAACAATTGCACTGATATGTGGCAACATTATCCATATTTCTATTGGTCTATAGAATATTCTTCATTTTCTGATATTGTTTAAAATTTTTTTCTCCCTTCAACAGCCCGACCTTTTTTCCCTCCATTCAACAGCCAGATATTTTTTTCTCAACCACATAAAATCTCAGATAAATAAGTTAGCATTGCCTCTAACCAAATTCCAGCTTTCACATTGGAACTGTTTTTTCTTGCCACTTTTGCCATGATGACTAGGTCAATGCAGATATATTGCAAATGGACATAAACATGAATTCTGACTGATTTGAAAATAGGGTATTATTCCTCACTAAAGAAATGGTATATTAATCAAAATGCTAGGAACAGATGTCTTAATCTATTTTAAGGTAAAGATAAAAGAAAGAAAAAAAAAAGCAAGCTTAAAACTGCAGAAACAAACCAAAAAGCAGGCCAATCACTTCAAATAATGATCTCCCATCTGTGTTTCACAGGTTTGAAAAACTTCATTTCTTCACTGGCATCTTCCACAGATATTCAGGATCTCCTGAGCTGTTTGTCTTCAGATCTCCAGACTTTTGTTATTAAGGTATAAAATTAATAATTTCAGAATAGAAGGAGCGATCACATCATTTATCCTGCTACATGCTGACTGTCACTAGTCTGCACATTGCACACTAGCAACCTGACCAGACTGCAGATTTGCATAAATAAAATTTAGGCATGCTGTGGAAAAAGGGAGAATTAATTGACATACAAAAATTCCATCTGTGCAAACAACTACAAGCATATTTATGTGCACATATCCACTCTAGTGGTTTCAGTATCTGCTCTCATTTCATAGACACATATTATCATAGTCCCTAATAAAACCAAAATTCAGAAGTAATATGTTGGTATAAATGAAGAGAACACTTCATGGTTCCTTACATCCTTGTTTCACCAAACTATTGACTTTTAGCAAGTACTAAGAATTTATAGTAGAAAGTTTCTAGCTCTTGTGAAAGATTCAAGTATGACCATCCTCACCTGATGGTGATTCAAGTGATATGCACCTTTCAAAGGTGATATGCACCTTTCAATAGATTACCAATTCTACCACCCCTCTACCTTCACTGACTCACAATTTGTGTCACCATGTTGGTACTACTGCTGCATTTGTTTGGTTACCATAACAATTAACTTGGGTTTGGGTGGTACTTAGTGTTTGGGATTTTTCCTCCTTTCTGAAGAAGCAGACTAAACTGTGTTTACTTGGCTTAATTATTTACTCTTATTTTTTTCTTTTTAAATGAAGAATAATACTTTGCAATTATGTAGTACCTCCATCTTACATAACCCTTAGCTACATCATGGGATAGCATAGAGAAGATGGAGTGGGACTTTTCCTGGGGGTTCACAGTTATAGACCATAAGGCAATAAACACAAGTTACAGCAAAGAAAACTTACAATAGATACAAAGAATAAAAATTCCATTAGAATAATTAAGCATAGGAAGAGGTTATCTAGAAAGGCTGTAGAATTTTTATCCAGGATATATTCAGAATTTGGCTGGAAAAGGCCTGAACTAAGCTGGCCATGCTTTGGACAAGAGATCAGAATAGGTAATATCCAAAGATGTCTTTTAACCTAAGACATTTTAGGATTCTAATAGAAAAACATGCTTGTTGCTTTTTTCACGTTTGCAGTTTGTTCAGGGAAAATGGTCTGTCACACAGAAAGGAATTCTTTTAACCAACTTTATCATAAACAATTTTTCTTCTTTATCTGCAGCCAAGCAAAAATAAAGAGGCATTTAAAGAGCAGGCATCAGATTTCATGTTGAAATGGAGCCTCCTACTGAGCAATGTAGGCAAGATTCTGACCATCAACAGGACAGAGAGTTTTGGTAAATAGGATCTTTGTGGCTCTAATTTGATATGCCCCATTTTGACCTGAGATGGCAGAGGCAACAGATCCAAAAGTACCTAAAGGGGCCAATAAGAGCTGGTGATATAGTGACTGGACAATGGGGAATGGCTTTAAACTGAAAGAGAGCAGGTATAGACTGGATATTAGGAAAAAATTCTTTACTGTGAGGGTCATGAGGCACTGGAACAGGTTGCCCAGAGAAGCTGTGGATGCCCCATCACTGGAAGTGGTCAAAGCCAGGTTGGATGGGGCGTTGAGCAATCTCTGGAAAATGCATGGCAGGGGGTGGGCACCCAGGTGATGTGGCTAGACAGGTCAGGGAAATGAAATTCTTAGATTTTGACCAAACCAGTTCTCTGAGCAAAACTGTAGGATGAGCATAAGAGAGGAGAGTAGGAGCTTGCAGCTTAGATGGCAGGAAAGCCAGGACTCCCTCTTTTGGCAGAAGTTGTAGTTTGTGGGGAAACAGGGAACAGGGCCTGTTCCTCCAGAGGTGAGAGCCTCTGCTTTCCTCCATACAAGAGCTGCACTCCACAGCAAAATTATTTGATGGAAATCTGGGGCCACTAATATTCCAAACCGTAAGCATTCCAAGCATCTGAAGTTATGGCTCTGAGTCCCCCAGGTTCTTTCTATATAATACAGACAGAGCAGAGCCACTGTAATAACTAAATGCCAAAAAAGTAGTTACTTTCTCTGACAACAGATATACGTTCTTCTTATTTTTGTCTTACACTGACCTAAGTTCTTGTCTAGACATCAGGACACCTGTTGAAGGTATTAAACTGACTGAAAAATAGCCACTTCTTTAGCTGGGTTATTTTTCTCTCCGTCTTAAGGCTCTGAGCTGTCAAACATCAAATCCATCATACAGCAGTGCAAGGTGGGAGAAGGGAAGGAACTGTGCAGTTGTGTTCACTCAAAGAGGCTTGAAATGATACAAACATGTCTTAAATCAGTCCCATCTCTACTCCAATTGCCTTTCTCTTCACTTGCAGCACCTTGCAAAGGTGCCATTTCTGCAGAAATGTACTGTCTCCCGTGAGTTGCATCTAATCCCAAACTGTATGAAATGCCTTTTAGATTTTCAAAGGAGTACCTTCATATTTTTAACTCTTCTTCTGTTGGATGCAACTTCATACAAATAGCCAAAGAAAACCTCATTATTTTCTTTGAAATACCCCTTCAAAACCATGCTTTCATGTTTGCTATAAATACATAGTAAATGTGTATGTCAAGGTTGTTGCCTTTTGTGTTTTTCAGTATTCTTACCCCATTAATGTCTGTGCTTATGCATGTATGAACACATTCTTCTTCTGCATCAAGCTGCTGCCTTTTGCCTTCTCTTTACTTGTAAACTGTCTGGAGCAGGATCAGAGATTTGTTCTGTGTCTGCAGGGAACATAACACAGTAGGGTCCATCAGCTGCTGCATTACAGTAAGAGTAAAATAATCAGTTCTTTCTCTCTCTCTCCAGAGGAGTTCTGCACAAAACTCTCCAATGTTACATGCAATATTTTTGGCAATGAATAAATTGAAAATGCATTCCAAGAACTGCATTGAAAGTATGTTTATTGAAATTCCCCATGATGATGAAATCCTCTCCCCTCTTTTCACCACAAGAAGAGTTTAATGAATTGCCTCCGTGTTCTGCAGTTGTGTGGATGGATGGGATACAATGAATGGAGCACATTTCTTGGTCTGCTGAGACTTTGTTAAATAAAATACAAATTACATTTTCACTGATTTTATGACAGTTTTCCTACTCTACTTCAATAACACTAAAATGGAATTTATTTCAAATATGACAGAGTTAAAACTATTTTTTAATATTTTGCCATGATGCTTCAATAATTATCTTCTTTTTTTACTCCTTGAGATGTTGTATTTGAGCTATCAATGTCCTTTTTTTTTTTTTTATTTTTTTTTTTTTTTGCATATTTCTATTCCTTTAGAACACTGAGTTTTAGCAGACAGGCTGAAGCAGTTCTGTTAACAAGCCATCTGGTGTAAAAGTTCTGTACTTGGGAACACTGCTTTCCAGAAATGTCTTAAATCTCAGCATTTCTTCAAAACATGAACTATGTAGCATCCTCACTGAGGAAACACAATTACCTGGGGAAATGTGTGTCATGTTAATCCAGCAACCAAAACAACTCTTACTTCTGACTTGACCTCTTGCCTTCTATCTGGCCACATCCAACAGACATAATACACTGGCATACTCACACCTCTCAATTTAGGATTGACTTTCACCCTTTTCCAGCCCAGCCCCTGCTTGGGTGATACCCAAGTGAGATCAGAGGAGCTCTGCAGTTACCCCTGCTGTAAGGCAGCAGGGAGCAAGTGTGCTAGAGCATTCAGGGCATATGGGGCCTCTACAGCTCCTTCAGCTCCATCTCCTTTCTAGAAAGTGTGCCTCTACACACCTCCCTCATAGAGTTTCATGTCAGCTCTCACACCTCTGTTGCCTTCCAAGGCATTCAAGGATGTACTGCCAAGCCATGGGGACTGAGGGCAGTGAGCTGTGCACTCCTCTTCTGCAAGCAAGTTGCTTCAACCTGGTTCCTCTTGAGAACTGTGTTCCTCTGTATTATCCCAAAAGACAACTGGAGTGGTAGCTTTGGCTTCATGCTTACTCTTCTTCTTAAAGAATATATTGAAAACACGTGTAAGAGTGTTAGAAACACTCTTGAACTACTATTAACAAATCTATATAGTTTCAACTCCAACTATAAAAATCCCTTTCTTTGTTCCATAGGTAAATAAGTACTTCCTCCTACTTTTCTAGTTTAAAGATCCTCAAAAGGATGAACAGCAGAAACAGCAGCTTCTTAGACACATATCAAAAGAGAGTATTTTTCATTTTTAAAGCTCTGTAAACGGTGGTCATTAATATAAATTGTGATATCTCCTTGTTGATGTCCATATAAACTAGTTTGTGGGATGCAGAGGTTATAAATTATTTGATGAATTCCTATGCAGATTTATGGCATGGAAGTTGTACTCTTTTACAGTAAGGGCTTTCAACCAAGGTATGATTCAAAAGTCAATGGCCTCATTGAGTCTCTCTTGGCTTTTATCACTTATGGTCCAAGTTGCAAGGTGGGCCATTTAATGTCATAGATACAACACACACAGATGACTGTAGGAGGTTTTGCTTGGGAAGAGGTGGAATGATTTATCTATCTGAGGGGAGAATGGGGGTAATACATGGTTATTGATAAGTCTTGTAGTAGAAGTGAATGTGGAGGAGAAACTTGAACAGGAAAGTGAATGAACACAACTTCCCTCTCTAGTTAAATAAGGGGAAAAATTGCATATGTTTAAAATTAGCAGTGGTACTTGTTTTTCTGGGATATTTGGAAGTACATAATTTTTTAATTACTGTTTGATGAGTGCTAGTCCATTACTTTGTATAGCCTATTACTATAATGAAGCCCTCCAAAAAAGAACACATAATAAAGATATGCAAATTAAGAGATTGCCATAATTATCTTTGTTTTTCTTTAAACCTAGGATCCTGGCTTTTGTTGAATATGCTACTTGTTGATTTTGCGGCTCACATTTTCCAGTCCTATATAGAAGACGATAAAGAAGAAGGAAATGCCTTGGTTGCAAAGCAAAATGAGGTCCCTGTTCTGTGTGTTTACGAGCCCAGCCATTTCTCAGCCTGTTTTGCTGAGGAGGAACCTCAAGCCAGTGCTCCACAGACAGTTCTTATGATGCAGAACCAGAATAACTTCGGATTAAGCAATGCTTTCCAGAGTTCTGAGTTGTTTGGTGAACACAGCCACAGTCAGCAAGGTGAAATTAACATTTAGTTAAAAGAAAATGATGGGAAAAATGTTATGGATTGGGCAAATTAGGACAAACTGGGAGGTGTGTGGCTGTTTGGGGTATTTTCTGCATGTAAAGTAGAACTAATGAAATCTAGATTTGCATGGAGCTGTGTCCAATGTCACTGAAACCTCAACCCACAGAGCATCCACCACATCCTGTCCCCACCCCACAATTATATCAAGGGATTGTAATCTCAACATCACCCACCTCCCCAGGACCACAGGTTCCTAATTCTTTCCTTAGGTTTCCAGCAGACCTCTGGAGCTGCTTCTGATTCTCCAAGTGTTGTCTAAGGAAGAGCAGTGCTGTTCTGATGGGTTGGGGCAGGCCATGGGCTAGCTGACAGACTGCATGGATCTATTGATCAAAAAAGAGAGTGCACAGTATGGTCTTTCCTCACTTTTGGAAGCACTGAGAGGCTCTCTTCCCTCCAATTATCTGTTACTTTTATCAAAAGATATTAAATATCTTCAGAAATATGAAATCCCTGAGACCCTTCTGCTCTACCAGATTTTCTTGCAGTCAGCCACTGCTCCAAACTTACTAGCATAAGGTGTGACATGCAGGTAGAAAACAAGATAGGCTCTAAGTCTTCTAGAATACAAGGCTAAAATACAAGAACACGTGGAAATGTGAATCAAGCCTCTGTGGTTAATGCAAGTGATGAATTAGACATTCAGCTGTTTTCATATTTCTATTCCATGCAGTAAAATTACTTGTCTTATGTCACAGAGAACATTGTGTTTCCCATAAAACTGTGAAAGAAAGATGTTAATGGCACCAAGACTCACAGAGAAAACAACATTTTTGGGGTGACACTACTATAGTTATTTTATTCCCAAGAGGTATTCAGTTTCCATACAGTAGGACAGGAGTGGAAATTGACTGGTTTACAAATATCTTTATTAATTATAAGGCCCTGTAAGGGACCCTAATTTTTTTAAAGTATACTAAGACTAGCTCAGCAAAGAAAACTGGAGGGGAGAAAGCAGGTACAGAGGACAAACCAAGGATAATTTATATGTATGATGGGCATGTTTGACAGCTTTTGTTATTTTTCAAATGTGAAATAAAGACCCATTCTGCCATGCCACCTTTATGTCAAAACATAAACTGTGCTGGGTACTGACAATTTGCAAGAGAGCTCTAAATCAGCGATAGTCAGAAATGAGGAAATGAACCACTAGAAATTTTGTTCAATATCTCCCCATTTCCGATGTTCTTCACTGTGCTGCATTTTGTGTGTCCTATGCCCATTGCAATGCTTTTTGCACAAGTCATCAGACAAGGGCTTGACCCAGGTTTGGTCTGTGTAAGTGATGTGCTCATAAATATGTACCAGTTTTGAATTTTTTGTACCTGATCACAAGAACAGAGCAAGGCTGATTAGAGTGAGGCATGAAGAATCATCTCTTTCAGAATAAGAGGGGAAGAGTGTAAAATGTGAAATGAGGAGTATGAGGACTTGGGAGAAGGTGTGGATGAGGGAAGAACATAGTGAATGACTGAGAAAGTGTAGCAGTTTAGACATCAAATAACCCATCAGATGATGGATTCTACCAATCATGTACAAGATGCTAATAACTGGGATGAAAAAGATATATTCTAGTAAGCACTTGTTATGGTTGTGGTTCAAGTGCTTAAAGTTTGTGAGGGAGTCGAAAAACTTGAACCTGCAGCTCAAAAGGGCTTCAGGAGCTGTGAGAGAGTGAGTGAACACTTCTGTCCATTCATGTTCTTCAGATGGGTGGTGCTCCTGCCTTGACCATTGCAGATTCTTTCTTTTGTATATCAACACTGATGTCATGGGTTGCTGAAAAACACAGTTGCCAAAAGCATCTCTATCACCCACTGCTTTGTTTGTATTGTCATCTCTGTAGATCCTCTGACAAGATTTTCATTGCATAAGGATTTTTGTTCTGTGACTTTTGACCACCAAAAATCATCATCATGCTTCCAAGGAACCATCTGTCCCTGCTCTTGACTGTGGCCCCTTTGGCCACAGGCATTCTGTTAGGTATCTAAACCCTCAGCAGCCATAGCAGCATCCACCAGCCCCACTGCTGTTTCCTGGACCACATTTCTGCTGCCTGACATATCGCTCAGGCTTATTTCATAATTTTTGCTTTAAATTCCTTCACCTTAGGCAGGCTTGGCAGCTTTCTGCAACCCAGAGCTTTTCATCAGTTCCCATCCTCCACTCCCTGCATTGCCAGCATCACACAGCCTCCATAGTTTTTAATCTTGTCCCACAAGGCATTTCTATGCCTTCTCTACAGCCTGTTACGCTGTGGAAAAAAAAAAAAATCTGTTCATCGCACCTCCCCACTCAGCTCATTGAAATTAGTGCTAACCACTCGGTCCTGCTACAAAACCCTGGAAAAATATGAGGGAAAACTGGTAACATAAATCAGAAAAGAATCTCCCAACCTTACCCTGATATCAGCAGCACCAATATGTGTGGCTTAGCAGATCCCTTCCTGATCTTTTAGTTGTCACCTTTATTCTTCCTCTTCCTTCTCCATCTGTTTCTAGTCTTCCATTCCTAGTTGGTGCTGAATATAAATTAGCCTTCTCAGCAGGGAGACCATCTTTTCCCATTTATTTTGAACAGCACAGTACATTTATGAATCTTATGTTTAAATATAATTTAAATAATTAATACATAGAATTAATACATAGAGTTAATACTCTGGAAAACACAATACATTCCAGGTTGGTGGCATCTCCCAAGGAAAACATTGGTTTTAATACGAAAAAAAAAAACATAGAGGGCAGAGGGAAAGATAGTAGAAGATTTGTACACACTGTCTTAGCAGGGAAGTGTGGCAGATAAAATTCTATAGACACAAACACATAGAATATGAACTGAAAATTGATTAAATCAGTTGCAGTAACAGAGATACTCTGGACAAGCCATAATCTCTAAAAGTGCAGCTCAGAGAGAATTGGCCAGATCTTTATTCCTTATCACAGAGTGTGCAGTTGCTTTCTCTCAGCTTGAATAGCATCTTTTTTTTCATCTAGCAAATCTCATTCTAGGTTTCTGGTTTTTTTTTCACACGCTACCAAATTAAAATCCTATTAAGCAGCACACCTGCAGTGGGATCATCTGTAGAGCACTGTGCTGTAGCTTTTAATCCAATTCTACACCTTCATAACATACAATATACTGCAAATCAGGGCATGAAGAGACTGAGGGTATGATATTCCTAGCTCTGTTGGCAGAAAGCTAATCAAGCACTTTGATTTGTTAAAAAGGGAGAAAAAAATAGGACATAGTTAACTACTTGACTTATAGGAATGGTAAGTGTTCATCTGAGTGGTCTGTATAAACCAGGATACAGAGATCAAGTGAAATTATTAACTAAAATGATCAAAAAATGAGAGGAAAATCATGACCCTGATTGAATTCAGTGTCAAAACTTCTGCTGACTTTAAGAAAGCCAGAATTTCAGCATGAAAATCAGCCCCCACAGGAGAGAGGCTGAGACTGTGTGTCAGCTGTAAGCCCTTCTATTAATTTTCAAAATAAATAAAGTGTGAGAAGTGTGAATGATGTATTCAAAGGGGATATGCCCTTCTGTCAGACCTTTACCATCCTATGATGAACCCCACTGTGTGCTTCCTCTTGTTGGGTTTATTTGATGTAAAATAAGGCTGGATATCTATAAAATACCTCAGGTTCAGCAAGTAAGAATACAGAAGACTTTTTTGAAAGGAGGGAGAAACATGAAGGGAGAAACAAATAATTTACAATTCCTACAGTCAAAACATTTCCATATTTCTTTTCTAATTTTCAGCATATCCAGGTAATTTAAGAAGAGAAAATTATTATATCAAGTACTAAGTTGGATCTTCAAGTTGGAAAAGAAACATTTCTTACTCAAAAAGATGAATTTCTATTTCTTTGCCTCCAATGAACAGCAAATCTTCAGAGAAAAGCATCCTAGCTGTAGTATTCTAAATGATATGCCATTCTTACTTTTTGATGAAAGTTTAAGAAATACCGTTTTCATTCTCTTAAGTGTAAACTGGGCTAGCAATGCAATTATTTTAAGTTGTCACGTGATTTGATTGAAAATAATTTGAATAAATCTTCAGAAGATAAAGGTGAAGTACTTGTGGCTTGGTTTATGTATTTCTTGTATATTTTTGTTGTCAGTAAAGCTGAAGACCTACCTGAGGTAATCATGGTAAATTATCTGGAAGCTACAGGATAAATGAATGACCCTGTGTTAATGCTGCCTTGTGTCTACAGTGCTGAATTTAAAATTTATATTTATTGAATATAAAACCTAGTACTAATTCCTGTCTTTAGAAATTCCTGCTTTGTTTACCATTTCTGCAGGATACAAGAGTCAATATCTCACATATAATTCTATTAACCAAAATAAAATAGGCTGCATATTATGTTACTATTTTATTATGTTTAAAACTAGGTTGTTTGGGCTTGTTCTGTAAGTAAAATAAAACAAATACTTTTATTAAGAGAAACCCTGGCATAAATTCATAGAAAATAGTAAATACTAATGATGAGATTTATATCTTGCATGCATCAGATTGTGTGAGGAAATTCCCTGAAACACCATGGAAATGGGGGGTTTATCTATTTTTGAAGAGCGTGCCTGCAGTGAGTTGTCTGTGCCTGATTGCTATTTCAAGAAGGGACAACTGCTTCAATATTTTAAGAAGGGACATATCCTGAATCAGAGAAAAGCACTTGTCAGGAGCTTTCACTCCTTTTGGGTTTGGAAATCTGCACTGATTTTCTGCTTGCATCTCCATTCATCTGTGTCAGCTCAAGATTTCAAGTGGGAATCAATTTTCAAAAGTGTGGTATTGCCGCAGATGTAGACAGGGCCATGTGATAAAGGAAAAGGTAGTAATATTTTCAACTCTGCAGATAATATTAAGAGTTTGGTGCCAAAATTACATTTTCTTGGAAAGTATCTTTACAATCAGAAAAAATTATTAGGGTCTTAAGGCCCATTATACCCATTTCCACTATTCCTAAGGTTTATTATGGTGAAGGAAAAAAAAGAGAATAGGGAGTGTAGGAAAAAAAATATAAGCTAAAAATACTCAGTGTTCTCCAGTCCACTTTTATTTATAAGAGTTTAGATTCTAGATTACATATACCTGCTCTCATGGCATAATTAAGCAGAAGTTGTATCAGTAGACTGATCTTGGAATCTGTTCTTCACGGACATGAAAAAGTAAGATGTACCTGAGAACATCTTTTAGATGTACCTGAGAACCTTCTGACAGGCAGAGGCTTCTGAGAGATCCATTCTTCCCTGTCGCCTACTGAACCTCTGTTCCTTAAATAATTTGCATGAATGCAATGGAAGTTTACAAGCATATGTTTTAAAGAATTACAGCTTTGCATTGCCATATTGAAGATGACTACTGCCAAGAAAGAAACTGTATGCACATGTGCCTTTATTAAATTGGGCTATTGATAAAAATTCATATATATGCAAATCTTTGCCTAATTAAACCTCGCCTGGAAAACGTTTAATAGCAGCTCCATGAATTTGCGTATCAAAAACGCATTCTTGCTAGCACCAAACTAATGATGCCTGCCACCTCCGACTTGGGGTCTTGCTGTGACTTGACCCCAGTGCCCAAACAAAGTTTTCCCTGTAACGGGCGTGTTCGCAAGGACACTCTCCCTCGTGGATCATCTCGTTTTTAAAAAACGGAGAGGTCGCACCACCTCTGCCCGGACAGCTCCATCTTCTTGGTTTTGTGGTGCGTGTAGAGACCTTAATACGTGAGATACCTGCTGGACCGTGCACCCGAACCAGGGGCTCCAGCAGTGTCCCGGCTGCCCCGCAAGCGACAAAGGCAGGGTTGCCCCGCAGTGAGCTCCGCGAGGGGCTCACAGCGGCGCGGCCGGCCGGGCCCCCGGTTGGGGCCGCACACCGGGTCGGGCTGGGGCCGCACACCGGGGCGTGCCGCGGCCGCGGGGCGATGCGGAGCCGCCGCCGTGCGCCGGGCGGGGGGCGGCGCGGGCGGGCGCGGCCGCGGGCGGGCGCGGCGGGAGCGGCGCGGGCGCTGCCGCAGAAGATGTCGGCGCGGCGGCCGTGGCCGTGCTGGCTGCTGCCGGCGCTGCTGTGCGGCGGCGCGGGGGGGTACGTGGTGGTCAGCTCCGTGTCGTGGCCGCTGCCCGAGGCGGGGGCGGCGGCGGACGAGCTGCACAGCTCCTCCACCGAGGAGGCGCTGCCCGCGCTGCTGGAGGAGGCGGGCGGCCTCTGGAAGCAGAGCTACCCGGCCTCGGCGTACCGCGAGGATGCGGCGCTGGGCTCCGGGCCGGCGGCGCGGCGGCCGGGGCAGGGGGCCGCCCCCTCCAGGATGTTCTCCTACCGGCGGGAGGGCGGCGGGGCGCCGGGACGCGCCGGCACCGCCCGCTTCCTCGCCCAACACAACGCCTGGGGCTTCGTGGCGACGCGGGCCGCCCGAGGAAAGGTACGGTGCCCGCGGCGCCCGCGCCACGCGTTACCCGCCGCACGAGCGCCCGCGCCGCGCAGGGAGCAGCGCGAACTCTGGAGGAGAAATCGCGCTCGGAGCACAGGGAGGGAGGATGCACGCTAAAAGCCGCACCAGAGAGACACCAAAAAACCCAAAATCTCAAGGCCAGAAGGCAGAGCTGCATCGCAGGGTTTGGAAAGGGGCTGTTGCAGGAGGATGAGGAGCAGAAGGAGGAGCGCCTGCTGGTCTACCACAAAATCTGCCCGTTCGTCCAGATATACCAGTTTAAAGGACGATTTCTCTGTCAGGAACAATAAACAAAACAGCTGGTCTGCTGTTAGGGTCAGTCTTTTTTCCAGCTTTAAAATATTTCCTTTTTTAAAGTGACACGTTCTGATGAGACACAGCATCCAGTACCACTCAGACAAAAGGTGAAGAAAAGAGAAAAAGAATTTAAAAAGACATTCTTAACTTTCAGTTGAAAGTATTCACAGATTAATTAGCTTATGATTTTGAACTAAATTTAAAAGCACGTAAGTCTTCAGGAAGCTTGGCTGTGTTAGTGGCAGTTAATGTTATTGTGAAATACAAAGTAACAGCTTGAAAAAAAAGATGCTATTAAATGAATCTATATGTAGACAGAGAGGCCTGTAATTCTACATCAGGTTTTGGAAATCCTTTTAAACCATACGATCGTAACTCTTTTGGTTTATGCTCTCACCAGAAACCCTCAGTCAAATTACAGCCATAATACAGTCTTCATTTATCTGCCTCCAGACAGAAGACAGAAGTAATACAGAAAAATCTGATTTGTAATAAAATTGAAAATTTGGGGGGTGGTGTTTGCTGCTGTGAATGTTGAACTATACTGCCTGTGATCACAATTATTTTTGAGAGAATCCAGAGTAACATTAACCTTGCATGACAGACTATTTTAAGCAATGGGAACACATCCTGCAATATTACTGAGAGCATTTTTTAAAATTGTAACTCTTAATAATAAACAAGGAATTGTATTTTCTAAGTTATGTAATATCATTAAAGCATTACTTCTAAGGAAAGCCAACAAAGACCATTTATAAGCACTATAAGCATTAAAATTTTACAGGCATATAAACATTAAAAATCAGAAAGCATGCTGCCCAGGTAACAACATCATCCAGGGTTTTCTTATTAACTATTCATATTTAATTTGATTTTGGTGAAAAAGATTTAATGCATTGACAGATAATTTTGCTGTTTAACATTTAATAGACCATGAAGAAAAAATATCTGAAGACATGAAAAAAGTAGTAATTAATTGAATATCTGTCATTGCTATTTATAATGGGATGAAAAGCACAGTAGGAGTATATGTCATTCTCAAGCATATTAAGGAGTGTCACTACTGGGCAAGGACATTTTTGCATGCATTATAACCACTGTGTGTACACAATGAGCTTATGCGAGAAAATATATTTGAAAACTTGGCTCCTTAGTGTCCTTTCTCTGCCATGAGAGGAGGTTTTACTTTGGCTGGCTTGGTAGTTGAGACACACACCCCCTCCCCTCCCCCTCCATCAAGCATCTGATGTTCCTGCCCAGGAAGCTGAGCTGATGTCCAGTTTGACTTCAAACACAATTCTAACTTAAATGCTTTCTTGTTTTTGCAAACTGATGCAATCATATTGCAAGTCAAAACCAAAAGAGGAGGCACTATTAGAGTAAAAAGCAGGCTGAATCAAGTCTAAATTAGGCCCTATATCCTTTTGGGTTTAAGGAAAAGTACCAGCACTGGTTTAGAGTAAACATTTCCTGGCATCAATGGCAGCAAAAAAAGACATTCATGCACTTAAAACATTTTTAATTTGGTAGTTCCTTTAAGCTTAATGTAAGAGAAGAAGTTCTCTATAGTGTCATGGTCAGGACTAGAGAGAAAAAAATAGAAGAGAGATCTCTTTTCATAGAAGCATGGTAGATCTAATTTAGAGGAGGTAGATCTAATTTAGAAGAAATGCTGTCTCATGATGATAACAGAAAGTGGGAGCAATGGGGCTGGCTGTCCTCTCTCCTAGAGCCCTTGAGGGAATCTTCCACTTGAAAACCGTCTATGTGCAAGGATATAACCAGTTGCTTATTTGGATTTTGCAGATCCAAGGTATGCCCTACGGGAACTGTTTACTTCTCAGCGATGGTCCCATCAATAACAGCACTGGAATTCCTTTCTTTTATGTAACACCAAAGGATAACACTGTGACAGATCTTCTGAAGAATCCCATGGCTTCTCTGACCCTTCCAGAGGCAGATGGAAATTTCTGCAGGTAACAGTTTTATCTGCCTCCTGCCACCTTCAGTGAGAACAGAGACCTCAGAGCAGAATGTTGGGTCCCGACCGTCAACATCCTGCATTTATTTTTGACTCTCAAGATCAGCTACATGCTCATTCCTATGTTGTTTTTGTTTGTTTGTTTGGTTGGTTGGTTGGTTGGTTGGTTGGTTGGTTGGTTTTTTGGTTTTTTGTTTGTTTGTTTGTTTGGTTTATTTTCCAGTAAATTCTCCGGTAAAGCATAGTAGAGAAAACAGAGGTGTCACTAAAGTGTATTGTAGCATCAACAGCTGGAGTGGCTTTCAGCTTGAACATTAACATACCTAAATTTTAATC